CAATTTCCTCGACCGGATTTTTTGCCCGAAAATGTTTTTGAGGGTTTTTGTAGTTTTAAGACCTCACATGCAAACAAAAGAAACATGAAAAATGAAACAAAATGGAAAACATAAAATAAAACAGACTTTGCCAATTATGGAGACAAACTGGTTTAGGTGACAATACCTACAAAAAATAAACGAAATAGAACAATAGAAAACTTAAGTCAAGAGAGTGAGAAACACTTATTGTTCAAGTGATAATACCTATCAGAAAAATAAGCAAAAGAATCTTCAGAAATCAACCAAAATAGAACAAAAGAAAATGTAATAATACTAGAAATTTGTGAGTACTGTATGCGTTCTATATATTTAGCTCACTAGCATGTGAGGAAAAAAACTCTTGATAATATCTAACTCATGAGTATTGAGGCACAGCATCAGCATTAAAGAAAACAGGTTTATAAAATTATATTATATGAATATAGAAAATGAAAAGAGTGACGAGTCACTTGAAACATTCTAAGCAGAGTGTAGTAGTATATAAACGGGCACGCTGACGACTTTGCAACCTGGGGTCAACGACCCCTCCGGGCACTTTGCAACCTGACCACAAAGCGCAACAGTATGGTCACAACTTTAAGCGTATGGGAACGACTGCAAACCTCCACCCGCCGCCCGCCGATTTGAAACATTTTTTTTTTGTTTCGAAAATCGGATTTTTCATTCCTCTTTTTCATCACTGCCAGCATTTCAACTGCGTCTCAGGCGACCGAACCAAGTAGTCCGTGTCAGGGCCGCCAGATGTTTTCGCTCCCGGTATCGGCGACGACTCTTTGTTTACACAAGTAACCTCCGAGTAAGCCACTTAATGAGGATATTATTTTAGAATCACAAGTGAAAGGATGATAGGAGAAATAAATTAAAACGGTCGGTTCTATGTTTACTTAAGAAAAACACACACATTTTTAATGAGACTAATTTAGGTCACCACCTATTCAACTTGATGTCATAAGACCTCATGAAAAACAGATCACACAGCCAACGAGAGGATCATTGCAAGCCACAGTTTTCGAAGTGAAATGATACAGTGTCCACGTGAACGTACGGTTCAGTGCTGGTGAAGTGTAGATTATTTTTAGTGCCCAGTGAATCATAGCGTCCTCTCATCCTCATCTCATTATCACACACATAGTAAGTTATCAAAAATTAATAGAGTCAAGAATTTGCTGCATTTACCAGAAAAAAATTCGATTTACCTGATTTTCTTTAAAAAATCACCATTTTTTTTTTTCAGGTAAATACAGAAAATTCGAAATCACTCACCACATTCATCTTTCATTCATTTTGTAACCGTGTATTTTTTTTTTTAAGATTTGAATCATAGAAACGAACCATGCGAAGCTAAAAACTTATTTTGCAGTCCGAAGTCCGAACTCCTAAAAAATTTCCACAACGGCGATAAAGATTAATTTCAGAGTAATAGTATTTTTTTTTTTATTTGAAAAAAAGATGGTACGACTCTGGAATTCATAATTATTCGTTAAGAACCTCGTAATTCATCACCCGAAGATTCATTTTTGAGCAGTTATTTGTGTATGAGAAGCGGGCTCACCATTTATATTACTTTAGATACCTCCCACGCACTGAAATCTTTTAAAGCTGCACCTCGGAAACCTATGATTTGAGTAAGGTTAACTTTGTGCAGTTTTCAAGGAAAATCAGTAAAGCGACTTTCCGATTCCACCTGAAAACTATGCAATTTTTCTTACTCCTGAAAATCACGTCTCTCTTGGAAGCGACAAGATTTTATCAGTGACGTGGCATGAATGATCGATTATCGATATATCGCCATTTAAAGCTTCGGTAAAGAATCGATTACTTAGGTGTCCTCTACGAACACCCTGATAATCGATCTTTTTTTTTCATAGGTTTAAACGGCAGATCAATCGATATATCGCAAAGCACGCCACGCCACTGAATTTTTTCGACGTAATTGATAAACTATAAATTCGCATCTCATGCTCCTTCCCCTCATCATTGAAAGAAGGAAGTGCCATAATAACATCCACAATAGCGATAATTATACAATGCAGGGTAAGTTTCACTTTACTTTGACAAATGAGAAGTGCCTTGCGTTTTTAATTATTAAGGAACCTGGAAATTCACCATCGAAACATGACCGGATAAAAAATCCAAAATTTTAGTACGAGGAGCAGCGCTCTCCATTTGATTTTAATTGAGATCACCTCCTCGTGCTCAAGATTACTGGATACTCTCACTACACCGGCTTGAATTTCCCGTGCATAATTCTCGGAAAATCTACTTATGGAACTGAAAAACCTGCAGGACTATCACAGGAAACTACTCTATTTTTGCAAAATGTACCCTCAAAAAAAAATTATGGTTCGTGTTCTTGCTACAAAACAAAAACTATGTGAAGTAAAAAATCGAAAAAATATTCAGAAAAAAAAACAACAAAAATTAGAGCTGAGGAGAGACATCAGCCGCCAATTCTTTTATTTTAACCGAAAAAATCGATGTTTTTTTTCTTTTTCTCACTAGTCATGCATCAGGCGAGAGTAGACCGGCTCACTACTTCAGAGTTCAACGATGAAGATATTAACGGCTACGGGGAGTTGTTGCAAAAACGGGCAAACGAGCAGCGGTCTTACCCGCGGATTAAAGTCCTCGATTCTTTTTTTTACACCAGCTATAAGTTACACGGCCCGCAACGTGTAGCTGGTCGATTTAAAAGGACCGATATTCACGCACTAGATTTTATCTTAATACCGTGCAATTTCAAGGGCAATCATTGGATCCTTTGCGTCGTTGATCTGCGCGGTCGCTGTATCATCATCTTCGACAGCTTATTCAAAGCTGAGACCGCGCAGGTAGTCCTAAACGACGTAAAGCGATTTATGGGTTATATGTGTGAGAAGTCGTGGGGTAATCTTTCGTGGATAAACATCTACGCGGCCAAATGCCCCCAACAGCTCAATCTTAAAGACTGCGGCCCTTATTGTCTCGTATTCGCTGAGGCTGTTTGCCGTCGCGCCAAGATGATCCTCCCCGAAGCGTTCCCATCGGGTACGTCACTCCAACTCGAGATCATGCGTCAGCTGTTCGAGAGGGTTGTGGGGCCACTATCCGAGAGCGCGGGGGAGCCAGATCTACCGACACCTTTTCTTTGGCCGCCACGCGAGCAGTTTCAATTTGTAGACCAGCCGCTCCCAGTAGAAGTTAATATGATGCCGAACATGCCATCCACCGCGCCAATCGATTTGATAACGCCCCCATCTGACAGTCCGCCACCGCCACGAGTTCCAGAGCCCGATTCTCTGGCCGCCTTAAGGAGATTCGTCAGGGAAGCTCCATTCATGATGAGGATAGATCGCCAGCGCCTGCGCTTCACTGACGGAAGTACAATCAGGTTTTGGCCGGCTCAAGCGGAGGAATACTTGAAATCAAAGGACTGAGTAATTATATTTTTTTTTTCAATTCACGCAAATTAAAATTTTCCTAAAAGTAGCACGAGATGCTACCGTTGAAAGTAAAAAATAATCGGCTGTTAGCTGCTCGAGTAAACTACAAATAGTGTTGTCAACAAAAAAATCGATTTTTTCTCGCCACACAGCAAATTATTAAATTCAATTAAAATGTTGCCTATCGAAAAATTTAGATTCGTGAGAAGAAAAAAAAATCCATCCGAAAACTCGGGTATGACTCCTCTTTCATTTTATTACAGGACGCATATATAATTTTATCCTCAGCACTCTCCAGCAAAGGCAAGGCTCCGAACTTTCTCTTCCGCTACTCCATGGGCACGATACAAAATGACCGTTTTCGTCTCCGGTCATCTCGTAAAGCTCAAGCTCCGTCTTCCAATCCCGAAGCTGATCGATGTTCAGTTTCCAGACGATGGGACGTTCTTGCTTTAATTTTATCATCTCCTCCAACACGAACCTTGCCTTTTCTGCGTTGCTGCTGAGCGCCATATTTCCTTTCTATATGTTGAAAATGACTGTAAATATAAAACCGTATATTACATTGACATTTATCTGATACGCCTAGCCATAATTTCTCCCCTTCCTCAGTTTTAGGACACGTCACAAAGTGTCCTCCCTCCTTCTCTATTTTATGTATATTTTCTAGGACTATACACCAAATTTTTATCAGTGTCTTTTCTCTGGAAAGAATTTTTCCTTTTGCAACTTTACGCATTCTATTTATCAGATCCATTTATGCTATATCGTGGCAACACTGATAATATTCGATCATTAGGTCATCGGAGCATAGTACTTCCGCATTAAGTTCTAGTTTTTTTATCTCCAAAAATGTTTGTATTCTGGCGTAATTTTCGTACTCGCACTTTTCCTCTAAAGTACACAATAATCCTCTCAGTATTAACAATACATCTTCTTTCGCAAATAATGGGATTAAAGTAACGATTCGTTTCTGGATTTCGAGCCAACAGTAATAATCACACCTGTGGGGAGTGTAGTGAATCTCCGTCGGCGCCCAACTGTGTGAAATTTCTCGATAAATCGCCACACCTGCACGTCTGAGTATTTTCCTCCTCAGCCAAGTTTGCCAGGGAAGATACGATGTAGCGTAAACGCAGGCGTTGAGATCGAGATTCTGTAAAGAATTTTCAAGCAAAGAATTCATTACTCCACACGAATCGTCGCTTTATGATTCCATTATTCTTCTAAAATTATATTCTAACCTAGACCAATCGTATGATGGATACCATACTTTACATTCGTAGAGAACTCGAAACGGTATAGTAACTTGCTGGCCGTTTCTCTTAAACCATAAAAAATATTGTATGAAAATTGTTAATAAGTTCCTTTCTCCCAATTGGGATCTAACAAAGTTGAGGAAGGAGCACCTAAGCCAGTCCCTCATCCCGTAAGTACTATGATGCCAAATTGAGTTTAGTGCGTCTCTCACACGTATAAAACATAAATTAGTACATACATGATCCTCATCATCCACATGATCCGAGATAATTATTCGAGATATTCGATAAGTTAAAGTTTCCAAATGCTGTGTGGGCAGATTCAGACGTATAGCGTAATTACAATTTTCTAAAGTTAGGTTTTCCGAAGATAGAATGAACAAAGTATTCATTTTGCTTAAATTTGACTATCACGGCGTAAAAGTTCTTCCATTACTTCTCTCATCAATTTTTGATGCTTCACCAGTTTTTCATGATAAAAGGCGATAGTATGCACATTGTCCTGAAGGATGTATCTTTTATCATCGAACGAATTTAAAGAGGACTTTTTCATTAGAGCCTTGTAGAGTCGGTGCTTCCTGGAAACTATTGAGCTTTGCGTATGATAATAATCCTCGTTCGAAAAGAGGCAATTCATATAATCGTGATGACTGATCTCGTCTTGAACAATGTACTTACGTATACCTTTCAATTTTCTCTTCTCCTGATTGAGAGATCGAATGGAATAACTTTTAGATCCGATTGCGACTACTTCTAAAATAAAATCCCCGGGAAATTCATCTTTCATTTTCCCGGGCCTCCTCTTATTAACATCGCTGTAACATGGATGACTCGCATCGTAACAGGAACAATCGTACCAAGACTCCTCTCCTAATCGATTCTCTTCTTTTATAATTTCAAAAGGATTTTTTCCCTCTATTTTGAGTAGAGCACAGTCAGTATCCGTATATCCCAGCGTTGCACAATTTCCGTACTTAATATCTATATGATCATACAAAAACTCGTTCAGGAAAACTTTCGCTAAATCCAAGACAACGGTGCCGATGAAAATTGGTTTGTCGTATTTTATTACTTTGGCTCGTCTGTGGACTCCCACCAAATCGGAATCGAAGTAGGAGGCTCGCTCAAAGTATGGGTCTGCTACAGCTTTCAAATATGTTTGAAGGTTTGCAGTCAGTGACATGTTTTTCCTCTTAGAAACGTCCTCGATGCACTTTCCATAAATTACGTTATTGTATAATTTGAATAACTCTTGATCAAATGCATTAGTGGCCGATTTGCGTAGCTCTGTATTGTTGTCGATAAAGGGCTTCAACCATGGCTCCTGTCGGAATCGAACGCCTCTATGTATCTTCTCAAGTTTCAATCCCAAACGTACGGCTTGCTTCAGAGCTCTGTAGTGAAGGCCATACTCTTTTTTATCGGACAAAAAATTACAAAGCTTTACAGTTTTCCCCCTTGGAGATTTTATATTTTCCGGAAGGAGGGGTAAGAGTCTACTGTGCTTTTCGTGAATTTCTGGTGGATATTGTATATCGCATACGAGGAAAAAACCGGTGGGTGCTTCGTCTGGAATAGTCATTAAATTCTCCTGTACAAACAGTAGTTCACTCGGTGACATCCATGCAAAATCGCTCAGTGGTAAGTATTGGGATAAAGCTAGTCCGTACATATTGTTCATATCGTACATGGTAATGAACGTGGGAATGTTTTTTCTATCGAATGTAGGATTTACATACTCATTATCGGCTTTTATGTAACGTAAATTGCACACACTCACTCCCCCTCGAATATTATTCTTGAATAGATAATACATCGTAGGGTCAGTCAAAAGTTCTACTTGTACGCCGGTAAATTTCAGCATACTTTGCCATGAAAAGCTAGGACTCGTGTAATTGTGCGCATTATCCAGCCCGTAATTTTTCATGTTTGTATCTCGGAATGCTTCAGCTACATCCGCCAATAAAGTCACGTCCAAAGTTAGATAGGTATCGGAATATTGACCGAGTGATTTAATTTTGAACTTTTGCCATACCTCTTGCGCATGCTTGTAATCTTCAGGTTTACAGGGTTGCCTTTTCAGTTTATTGTAAAATTCTTCGATCGGCGGAAGTTTGTCGGTTTCGTAGTCGTTAAAGTCCTTAACGTAATCGTACGGAAAAACGCCCTTCCGGGTAGCTAGATGCATCAATTCCTTCGGAATTACTTTCCTGGTCTGCTTTAAGGCTAAAACGGGTAGGTTTTTAACTAATTTCTCGAGGGGGCTCGCCATATATCGCCATGTATCGATGAAACGTAGTTGGTAGCTCGTGTTCAAATGATGAAATTTTTTTGTAAACGCTATGTACTTCTCGGTGGTTTGCGGGATTATAGTTGTCGCTCCGGGGAAAGTATTGAGGTGTAGAATGAGATGATGCGAGTCGTAATTACTGCATCCGTGAAAAAATATCGGTATATACTTTACTCTTTGAAAGTGTAGATTACATATTGAATGTGCGATACCTCGAATTTTTCCTGTCACGTGATCATGATCTACTACGCGATCTTTTGGATCTGCGATTCTTTTTTCGCAAACGTGACATGTTGTTGGATCGAAATTTTCCGCTTCCGTCGGGTCGTAAGGTTGGTATGTTTCCAGCAATTCTATAGATTCTTCTAACGTTTCTTGTAAATATTCGAAAAACTTAGTTACTGCGTTGGGCCCTCGATATAGTTTTGGTGACGTATTTGAATCGTATACATTTACAGCGAGAAGGCAAAAACTCGAAGGCTCGTGATATTGATAAAATGTAGTATTTGGTGAAATATTAATATCGATAGGTCGTAATATCGATTCGAAATCCGCATAAATTACTACTGGAACTCTCAATTTAAAACTATGATTTGTAAATCCTAAAACGTCGGTGCCAAAGTACTGACTTGGCATTATCACTCTGGCTAAGGGATTTGGTTTGCAGTACTGCGCGTGGGTTTGGATGTCTACTTGAGAATAACGATGTGACAGGCAGCGGGGACATACAAAGATTCGCCCGTGATGCCGCGTCACTTGCTTACGTACTAATCTTGACAGTTCTTTGATATAATAGTAATCTTCGTTCCCTCTAAGAAGATTTATTACTAATTTATTACTTTTTACGTTCACATTTTTGGCTATTTCCAACGGAAAAATTGTTCCTTTCTTATTGTAAGTATAAACGTTTACTAGAACTCCGGGATTCATCGAGTTAAATTTCCTCACCCCCTCCAAGGGAAATTCCGTTTCAAAACTTGGCCATTCGACCTTCTTTCCTCTTAATCCGAATAAAATACATTGTTCCAATGAATTTTCTGCAAAATTCGTCGGTATGACGAGACAGTTCTTTTTTTTAATTGCATCGGGGAGTGGGACTGAGGCTCTCTTTTTTTCAATATTTCCGCCGTTATTTATGCACATAAATCTATGAGTCTCTAAATCTTGCTTCCTATTGTAGTAAGTTAAACATCGATAGCAAATATATTTTTTATTCCTATTGTTTTTGGGTAATAACTTAGCTATATTTCGTATATATGAATAATGTTCATTATAATAAAGTAAATTATTAACGTCGAGTTCATCGCTGACTTCACTAGTTCTAATCGGATATATCTCTGAAAATTCTTCTTCTATTCCGTAAACGTTCACGGCGGTCCCAGGATTCTGCTCCTCAAATTCATCCATCCCCTCGATGGTCATCGGAAAATGAGGCCAATTGTATTTTTTCGCATAGGCTTCAAATCGCGATAGAGAATATTTTATTCTTTTTTCTTTCAGAAATTTTACTAACATTGCCCATTTAAAGCATTGATATGGATAATTTGGAAAGTTGACGTTGACTACTGCGTGTTTTTCTTTTACCCATTGGGGTAGATCAGTCGAACATCCTCCCCGAAGTGGCTTATAAGTGTAAACTCGCACTTGTATGGAGTCGTAATGTAATAGACACCATTGAGAATTCCTAAATGTAAGTTCGGATATATGACTCTTTGTATCTTTCCTCAATCTTCGAATAGCGTTGCTTACATCCATGCTGTTGATTATAGTGGTAGCGAGACCTTCCAACGTATGTATGTGAGTCTCCTGTAATTTATCGTGGTAAAAGGTGGCTGTGACATCAAAATTGACTTTTACGGGTGGAATTTTTTCTTTCTCAAATATGTTTTTAATTCCTGGGATATTCCCTTCGAGAAACACTTCGATATCATCTGAGGGTGTAGGGTTACTGATTGAATAAACTGAAAAATGACCTTCAAAAGCGGTTTTTTCGGGTGTCATGTTTCCTATCATTTTTAGAATGTCGAGTGGTATTTATATTCTAGATTGTAAGAGGATACTTTGTTGACTTACTTTTAACAAAATGATTTTAATTGGTCGCACACACAAGCAATTATCACGTTGAGCTTGTCGTCAGTTGTTATTTTAGTAGGTAGTTTATAAGTGAGGTTCTGACAGAATTGTAAGTGTCCGTCGTCAAGGTTGCCGTCGAAATACTTGATGCAGTGGTCAATGCGCATTCGAGTTTCCTCACCGCCAAGATACTTGTAGGAATGATTCTTTAGAGCTACGCGAATGATGATCTCGTCCAATGGAAAACAAATGGCTTTAGCGTGATCTAAAAGTTCTTTATTGTATAAACTATTCCCTCGGGAATCCTTTCGGGTTAAATGGTAGGCTTTACACGAACTTGCGTACTCGCGTACGTGCTTTATACACAACGTCACCCTAGTATTAGTTGTGGCTTGCTTGTGGCAGAATTTGCAACTCCCCGTAGACATGATAAGTTAGATGTATGGTGAGAATTTTTTTTATATATACGAGTAATTACCTGGTACGGTAGAGGGGGTACTGTCGAGTGAAGGAAAGGATGACTAGCTTTCGCAAAACACATGATTGGCTGCACATGGGGAGACGTTGAACTTGGGAGGGCCTCTGAACTAATGTGGTAGGCTGGCCTTGTATGACGTAGATGTCTAGACTAATTAAACGATATTAGCGACGATTTGTTGTTATTGTAAAAGATTTATTATTGAGGTAGGTTATTGGTAGAGGGGTTACTGCCGAGAGAAGGAGGCGGTGACTAAGTTCATCGACGGCGAACGCTTGCGCAAAACACACGCTTGGTTGCAGGTGGCGAGACGTTGAACTTGGGAGGCTCTCTGAAATGTTGAGGTAGGACCGGCTTGCATGACGTAAATGTCTAGACTAATTAAACAATATTAGCGACGGTTTGATGTCATTGTAAAAGATTTATTATTGAGGTAGGCTATTTTTGGTGGTCTTACGAATTTCGGTCCGTTCGATTGAATCATACTTCTACGGGTACTTACCTGGGGAGGTAGAAGGACAAACTGTCCAGAGAAGGAGGTGATAATCATCGATGGCGAAACTCTTGGAAGAAAAAAAAACAGAGTTCCCATTTGTATACTACTATGAATGGGATTCTACAGTGATACGCTTAAAGTTGTGAACATACTGTTGCGCTTTGGGGTCAGGTTGCAAAGTGCCCGGAGCGGTCGTTGACCCCAGGTTGCAAAGTCGTCAGCGTGCCCGTTTATATACTACTGAGTGTCTTACAGAATTTCATCGTTCAAATTCCCCGACTTTCCTGATTTTCTTTCTGACAAGTCATAAAAGTGGAATACTTCATTTTCAACAATTGGGAATGTTAAAGAATTACTGAGAGCTTCCAGAAATTTTGAGTCATTAGGCACTTTTTCGTGAAAAATCAAAATTAATTTCAAATTTGGAAACAGTCTTCTCCGGATTTTTATTAGAAGTTTTGGAACTTAGGAGCTCACAAAAATACATAGCCGTTAATGTTTACCAAGACTCAATTTTGTTGCAGCCACCTGTTAAAATATGTTTTTTTTCTTTTTCAAAGATAACTCACCTACTCTAATGAAGCGTGAGAAAAATTTCTTTTCTTCCTAATAATTAATAATCACAGGATAAAAATAATACTAATGTCAAGGAACTAAAGTATAGTTTGGTATTCCATGGATTTCCATGTATAATATAAAAGGAACAATGTTTGCATGGAATTTAAAGTATGAAAAGTACAAAACATGTATGGCACGGCAAGTAGAATCACTTTGCTGTAAAGTCCAGTAATGTAAGAGAAACATCACGCCAAAGAAAAATACAACAGAATAAAAAATTTCAAAAGAATGAATAACACAATAGAAAGAGAGAGTGGTTTCCTTTCTAAATATACGTGAAACAACCTAATTGCTAATTTAGTTGAACTAATTCTATAGTTGATTCACTTAATCTAATTCAGTGCTTCCAAGTTCTCGCGCTTTTCGTTTTTAATTCTGATTCTTTCTGAGGCATGGCCTAGCCACCACTTCATTTTTTCAGGCACTCGGGCCTGTCATTATCTGGGTGGAAGGCATGAAGAGTATCTGAAAGGCAAAGACGATAACTGTATTATAAAATTTATTCAGTGCTCAATTTGTTACTTACATCAACAATTACAATGACTCACTTCTGAAGGGTGACAAGTTTTATTGAATCTCAAAATTTCCTGACTTTACAAGGTATCTGAATGTAAAATTTCTGGACTTTTCAAGGTTTCTGAATGTAAAATTTCCTGACTTTTCAGTGTTTCTGAACGTAAAATGTCTTGACTTTTTAAGGATATTCCGCATGAAAATGCTTTTCACCAAGATTTTTCCCCCCATCGAGTTTCAATGACTTTTAATGCAGCGCGTGGGTGAAGTAAAATCAGAATTTTTTGACTGGAGGAACAATTTCAAGGTTTGACAGTGACATTTCCTCACTTTTCCCTAACTTTTAAGAAATTGTCACCCTGCTTGAGCATAGGACGAATGAAGGTTACATTCGTTTTAAAAATAAGGCAGTATGAATTTCTGCAGGAAATCCAAAAATGAATTATGTGAAAACACCCCGTTCTTTTTTTCCAGTTATATAAACTTTGAGGTGAGAAATATAAGAGGTGGCCGAAGTTTTGGGGTAGTCTGGTCTATTTACATGTCATGAAATTTTTGGAGTTTTAAGAACATTAATAAATCCCAAGTTGCCATAGAAAAATGGCAAGAATTTTCAAGAGCACAAAATAATGTTAACACTGAATAGAATAAAACTTACCGAGGATAATGTCAGAAATTGCATAAGTTTTGAAGACACGCTTCCCTTTATGACCTTCATAGGAGTAATGGCGGGCTAGTTCATCTTGTAGAAGAAAACCACAAATCTTGTTGACCGAGTCTACAAGTGAAGTTCCATTGTGCATGCGTAGAACATTTATCTGCAAAGAAATAAAAGAAGAATTTAATTGGGTGTAGTAATAAAAAGAGGAGGTTTTGCAGTCTTGAAATTTCTCAGTCAGCTTATGTGTTAGGGAGCAATCGACTATTTCACCAAGTTCTAAGATTAGGATTTAGGATTTGGATAATTAGAATAGGATGAATTTGATTGACAGAACTTTTACTTAAGGGTAATCCATCAATTCCTACCAAGAGCTCAATAATCCTTATCCTTATCCTCCACAAGGTGGAGGATTAAGAACAAAAATATACTGTTAATGTGTATTTATTGGTATGAGTAAACTTGAAAGGAATTTGCAGCCACTGGTCTCCCTAGATAATATGTCCTCCCCTATCTTCCTCCATTTTTTTCACCCCTCCACCCCGCCCCCGCTGCCCTCTGTTTCCACTGCCCTCTCTCTGGCGTCTCTATCTTTTGTACATCAAGTTCGAAAAAACTTACCTCTTCGGGTTTATTATATATTTCGGGTAAAATTCAGAAAAATATTTACTTACATCGATGTTTAATAAGTTTTAGGTTTCATATCACTATTAAAATGTAGAGACAGGGAACTTTTTACAAACTTATGAAATAACGGATGCTTCTGTATTCCCACAGTGGCTTACGGAAATCGGAGCCTACTATATACTCTTTTTATTAGGTAATCATCATACTAATTCCATACACAGAAATAACAGTGCTCTAAATCTACATTTTACAATAATAATACTGCGTGATTGGCACCCAGCGCGTCCAGCTGGAAACTGAAGAGCAGGGCATGTTTTTATAATTGGAAACTTGTGTTACTTTCGAGGATATCTCTTGGCAAGAAATTTAACCGGCCTTTGTCACCGTCCCTGAAACCGCAGAGCAAGTTAATCACAATTTGAAACGAATTGAACTACTTTTTCAATGAATTGAACTAACTATATCCGAATATTCTATACCTATATTGAGATCTGGACCTTGAGGTCGAGAATAATACATTGATGAAGGGCCCTTGTCAGAATGAAGATAATTCTCAATTGTATTGGCACAATGAAAGGAGAAAACTTATCGTATTTAAAAATGACACAATCTTTCTACGATAGGTATGAAAATCATGAAATAAATATGGTAAAATGACTACATAAATGTCATTCATGTCCACTTTGCCGAATCAATTTTAAAGAACGGGGTTGAATTGATGACTAATTATATAGCACAAATTGCAGACGATGGTATATTTTTAAGCGTGCCTGTAGGGCTCGCTTTTTGAAATCACTCGGATGTACCATACTACAGCACACCGATCAACCAATGCTATTCAACGGGCCGTCGAAATATTTTTTTCCTCGGACCCGTTTTCTTGTCTTTGACCCATTATACTGTCAAGCCCTGATGGTCTCTTACCAAAGAACCGAATGAACTGCTAATTGGGAACCCTTTAGAACATTTTCTTGTCAAAACCGTATTATTTCATTTGACAAAAACCTCATAGAAGCTTTCTTACGCTCGGAGGACTCAACTCTAGAACCTTCTTTCCCGCCAAAACTGTTTAGCCAATGAGCGTCTTGCACTGCAAGTGCAATCTGTGATGAGCCTCGTGACTCTTTATACCATGTACTAACCGTGGCCCCTGCAGAAATCCACTCAAACCACTGCAGTTATCTCCCGATATAGCTTTGGGTGTCAGGTTTCGAGCAAGGCAATGAAAGACGGCGAGGAGAGGGTCGCCTCGTCGAACCTATTATCTTCCACGCCCGATTAACCATTCACCGTGACGCCAGGATCCACCAAATTTTCACAAAAATTGTTTTCCGTCTATTTAGCGAGTTTTTCCTTACTTTCCGTTAAAGTACAAATGAAAAGAGACCTCATTTGTAAAAATCGGCCGAATAGGAGAGAAGTTACAGTTCGAAATCCAAAGAGATTAACTCAACGCGATTTCGATGCACGGCAGTTCGCCCAAATCACGGTCGTGCGAAATGCCGCATATCAGCTTAAAATCAAGATAATTGGACGGAATCTTTAAAATCAATTTACATTCAACGTTCATGAATCAATATTTTCTCCCAAATTTAGCAAAAAGTACCAATTGATGCAAATAACAAAGACGTGAAAATAGTAGGTATGTGTCCAACATTTTAGTTATTCGGCACGCTTTTCCAACATATTCATGTTGGATTTTTCTGCTTGTTTTTTATTAATTTCGTTCTCCTTCCCGCACTACTCATTTTTATACTGGCGATGGAAACTGAATTAATATAGCCTACATCAGGTATTTATCTCTAAATAAACAAAGTGTAGATGATTAAAAAAAACAACACATTTCCACATAGCTACAATAAAAAGGTCTTTATACGTGGTAAACACAATACTAAACTTCCATCAACTTTATCCTCTTATCTTGGAATAATCAGACGCACTTGATAAAGGCGTATCGCCATATCATTGAAATAATCATACAATCTTAGTTCCCGACAAAGTATGATTGAAAATTGGACAAAGTATGAAATGAAGAATTTTAGGTTGACAGAAGACTCTATTGGTGACCCGTAGCGTTCGTGAAAAATAACTCATTATATTATTGAAGCTGCGATCTAGCCTCATACTTTTAGAACTGGGAACGCCCACCAATGTACCAATGTATTGGAGTCTTTCTTATTTTTATAAGACTTTTTATACTGTAAAAAATATTTCATATCATGGTGAAAATTTATAGAATCGAGAATTTATATAAGCACATTATGGATTTTTAGAGTCAGCGTCCAACATTAATTCGAAGGTTCACATACAATGTTGAATGTACCCTTTTCCAGTCTCATGGCCGGAACTATCATGCCATATTTTATGCATAATGTGTATCCAATGGCATTCTCTCTATAACAAGAATTCAAGGACCTGACAGATTTCCTCGTCCTCGACAGGTTCCCCTTATTACGATAGTCTATCACAAAAAGACGGACGAGCTCTGATATCGATGACTTAACTTAATAGACTAAGGTATCATTGAGGAGTGCAAGTTCTTTAATTTTAAGATCCTTCGATCCTGGGATTGCAGGCTTGCTGTGTGCTCCAGTCGGAAAAGGTGTGTACCTACTGTCGGTTCGGCACTGAGAAATTACAAATTTTCAGCGATTAAAGCACTCACCGTAGTAAACGTGCAATGCGTGAAGTATATATACGTTCTTGTAGGCGCTAGATCTTGAACATATCGACGGTGTAAGTCGGCAATCACATAACTCGTTTGCGGTGTCTGAAAATTTCCGCCTCTATGTTATTTTTTTTAAAGAGAACAAATTGACGTCATTCCTTGCATTCTATGCAGAATTTTCTTCACACAGAGAAGAAGAATCACGGAAGTCATATAGAATTGCCGTTGAATAGTTTTCCATTTAAAAATTAACGTATGACAGGAAGTCTGCGACGTCGCAAACCGAGTCATGTGATTGCCGACTTAAACCGTCGATATGCAAGTTTTTGCAAAAGAGTTTAATGCTCGTGGTTATCAGAGAAGTTCCATATATCCCAAACAAGGTACATCAGTTTCGAACTGACTTGTTCGAAACGGATAATACAACTTTGAAAATTTTGCGACCTAAGTAAAAAAAAGTCAGGACTAACCTTTAAATCGGAGTAGAAGAACCAGTATAACCATGCAGAGTGGATTTATCGCAACATATGAGCGGTAGAAATCTTACGCATATATATTTCTAAAATATCCCTTTAATTTATTTTATAATACTCACGTAAGGAAACTTCATTTACAAAACTGATTCATATCTAATTAGTTTTGTGTTACACGTATGAATAAACACGCATTTTTACTGAATAATGAACTATTCTAAGCCACCTCAAGAGGAAGTAAACAGATTTTCATTTTATTTTTACAAACAATGGTAAGTTCAAATCCATATCAAATTATTTATTTCACAATTGAAAGCTTTTCGCACCCAACTTTCAAAATATTCACTCCAACGGCTGACAATCAGTGTATGTTAACAATTGGCTCTTTTTAAACAATTATGCCCATCAACAACAAAATCATCTCGTGTCGTAATTGATAAAATATGCGCATGGGTTTTTTTTTTTCCAAAAAGGAATTTCATTTTCAGTCCATGAACTGTCTAGACTTGATGAATAAAACTCCGATTTGATTAACTGATAGACTTAGCCGATTAAAATTAATTGAGTAAAATGATAATAATCATCACTAGGTATGCTTCCTATCTGATAAAGATGAAAAGTTTTCATTGATTCGTCACTCCCCGTGGCTCCTATCAGTTTTGATAGGAGTGCGTGATATTTTTGGAGAAAACAGCCACGTGGCACGTGGCATAATTTCAAACCACCGGTACGACAAATATTTTTTGAATTGACCGAACATGAAGTTTAGTTCACCATGTCTCAACTAACCTTTTCTCGCGTCGAGAGCCTCTTGGGTATCTTTTGCATTAGTAGACCAATGCAAATGATCTTCAAAGCATCAGTTCAATTTTTCAGTGATAAAATGAGAATTTTTAGATTATCAAGCTTGCCAGTGTAAAATAAATTGAAACCTATGAAGATGTTCGTCTATAGGCTTGTCTCCAAAGACTGTGTGAGATATTCCGATTTTAGCACTTTTGAGGTGCCCTTCTGTATTGCTGCGAGTAATTATATCTCAACAGTTATCTAAATCTACGTAGCATGGTGCACTTTAAAACAAGCTGACATCTCCGGCCCTCGGGTGCCGTATATGGAAGCGATTCAGTGGTCCCTCGAATAGTTTATCTATTAAATTTAATCCACCGGAGGCGAGTTGAAATATGACAATGCCGTGAGAGCAGCTGAGTTCTATTAGATTTTTCATCTCACAATCGAGTAATCGATTAATCGACGTGTAAAACTTTGAACGCGTAAAAAAACTGTTTCTTCATTAATAATTACCCAAAAGCTAAATGAGATGCGCTTGAAATAGACTCGGATTTTTGAAAATTGCTCGTTTGAACTGTTCTTTCGTCCAGAAGTATTTCAACAGAAACGGACCGTTTGAAGTATGCCATAGATCGCGATATTTTTGCTTCGATCAAATGGGTGAACCATAGATCTTTAGAGTATTGAATTGATCGGAAGAAGCTATCATGCTTACGAATTGAGTCGCTTAAAATGAGTCTTCTATAAATGTACAAAAGATCTTATCGCAAATGCGCTGGTCGTGATTTTTTTTTTTAAAGCAATTTAACATTTTTTATTCCTTTATGTCATTGCCTTTGGTATATATGTACTTATTCCGAAATAAAACGAAAAATGAGAAGTTTTTTTTATTTTTTTTTAATAACACTCTCTTTTTGTGCCGTAGTATCTTAATCAATTTTGCAAGGGAAGCTCCGTGATCTTAAGGGATGCCTTTCATCCTCAGTATGTTAGAGCGCCTTCAATTTCGTATTATACTGTGTAACACTTCTGTTGTGAAATAGTTGATCGAGGCGCCGTGGCACGCTGCGGCGCAGCGGGCGAGATCAACCAGCGCGACATGCGCATTAGCGCCTACAAACCTAACAGGGATACTTCACGCATTGCGCAATGCGTGAAGTATCCCTGTTAGGTTCGTAGGCGCCAGTGCGCGTGTCGCGCTGGCAACACGCGGCTCCGCCCTGTATTAGGCTCTGATATTTCAACTCGCGAAGTGAACATTTTTCAACTCATGATTTTGAAATGTTTGCACACTCTGCATGGATTATTCTCATTACATTGATGAAAAAAAAAATATGTATTTAAATTGTAATTTTTTCTTCTATCCTTTTACTGTGCTGCAGCATGGTGTACGCGCAACCAAGGCTCAAATTTGGACGTATTTGACTCTAGAAGATCGATGTACAAATGGGTGAAAACCAAAGATTGCGTGCTCCTTGGTTTTTTCCCTCTTTTATTCATTTTTGTATCGTTTCTTTCAACGCACTCTCTTCTTTTTTTCTCCTTTTCTTGTTCTCAATTTCTAAGGTCAAAAGACCCAGGTCAGCCCGATGATAAGACATTCTTTGGAATTTTCCGATCTGGCGACGACTTCCCCCGATTTGCTGTTTCGCTATTTTCCAACGTTTCCAAAGCCCCCCTCGATCTTTCCGATCTGCATAAGAACGATATAATATAACCAGCGGGCCGATTATTGAAATTGATAGACAAAGCTATAGACAAAGGAGACGAAAGATATATGGAGAGATTCTATAGGTAGAAGCGGGCGGTTGCAATGGACAAAGGAGGTAGGCAATAGACTAACTAACGGCAACCCACCAGAGACCCGACAGTTAGTCTATCATTTTCTCCCTTTGTCTATAGGAACCACCCATTTCAACCAATAGGATCGCTCCATACTCCCTATGTCTTAGAGAAGTGCTAAACTAAGAAGAACTAAATTTCTTAGCCTCTTACAACAAGTCTGGAAGATATTTGGCCATGACCAGGGCCGAGCAGAATTTAGATCCAAACTCTATATTCGGCCTGTTCTTTCTTAAAATCGCACTTTTAAGTGAGGGAAACTAAATTTTGAAAGGTAGAGAAACTCGTTCAAGATATAGAATAAAAATCCTCATATCAGGTCAATCGAGGTGCGGTAATTATTCTATTGAATTATACAATAACAAACAAAGACACAATACATTCTTCGTGGAGCAAGAATTGATCTTTATAACAGCACAAAAACATAAAAGTCGAAAACCCTACAATAGATATTTTGTGCGTATTATCTTACAATTTACTAATTTACCTATTTATTTACAAAAAGTAAAAATAATTTGAAAAAAAAGTTAATGAATTTATTTAATTTATTCTTGTACACATAAATTCACTAATGTCCGAACTTTTACATAATGTACCTTGAAATAATGATAATTACGTAATGTCTATGTGTCTCAAATGTCAACAAAAGGAAGACAAATAGAAACAACCAGATCTTACTCAAGGCAGAGAGGAGAGAGTTCTTGGAAAATCTGAAAATTTATCTATCGTCTTTGAATGCTTTAAATATATAATTGTCAAGTTAAATTAGACAATTTTTTGTACTGTTCCAATTTTTTCGCATATCACATTTGAGGTTTTACAAACTCCTTCCGACGATGTGACGGTCATTTTTAGTACATTGTCGTGCAAATACGTTTTTCACGCCAAAAACAAACCAATATAACGATCTTTTAAAACTTTATAATGCGTAATAAACTTCGCTTCTTAAAGGACATGCACTCCTACATAGCAATAACTTGTGACATATTGTGATTTGTTGCCAGTCATCGTTGAAATAAGGGCAGAACCGTTAAATGAGAAAAAAATATAGGATGAAATTAAGAAAAATCATTTACACAGATACCCGTGGACACAAGGGAAAGCATTAATCTAAAAAAATACTCACAAAAGAAAACAAGGTGTTAGAATGGGGGTGACATCAAGAAATCAGGCGGAGTTTTTTTTGTCTCAGGGCAGGGGGAGCATATTGAACGCAGTGAGAGAATGCGAATGAATGGGATGCAATCCATTGAATGTGCGTGTGAACATTCAATGGGAGTTATCGAATACAAATCCTGCAGATTGAGGGTAGGGGAGGGGGTTGTAATGCAGTAAATGCATAACTTATTACTGTTTACGATCTAAAGAAGAGAGTCAGTCTTTTGAAAACACGAAGATCCATCAAAAAAGTGGAGTCCTAGAGATAAAGAAGAGAGTATCGATCTCATGAGAAAACATACACTGAAAAAAAAGTACTTGGCTCAAGCATGATGATTCTTGAATTTGCCGCCAAGAATCTGTTTTATCTTGATTTAAGCTAGATTTTTCTCTTCTTCTTCTACTAACGACTAGGGCATAGCCCTGTTTGTCAAGCCTTCGAGTGCCGAGCACAAAATATTAAAAATATAATAATTATCTGTAAAGATTCGTCAAGTCAATAAAACAAATAGCAACAGGAACATTCAATCATCTTCAGGAGAAGAGATTTTTCTCGATACAAGCAAAATAATTCTTGGGTTAAGCAAAAAAGTAATTTCTGTTAAGCAGCAAAATTCTTGATTTAAGAAAAAAATACTTCTTGGCGGCAAATTTAAGATTCTTTTTTTTTTTTTTTTCAGTGCACAGTGGAAGAAACCGAGGCATTCATGGCTTGTGATTAATCAATGTTTTAGAAAATTGTTGTCTGCTTCCATTTGAAAACAAGTTGAGAACTAGGAAGTATATTAATTTTGCGTAGAAATGAATGGACGCGAGTACAGTATGTGCTTTTCTGTATTCAGGTACATTGGATGCATTTGCTACCATTGGTCCCACGCGTGGCGCGGGTTCAGTGCTAGTTCTACATAAAACGAAGTCAAAAGCGTACCTACCGATAAATACGTATGGCACGCTGAAAATATGAGCGACCTTCTGGACCAGAACATTTTTGGGGATTTCCATCATATATTGAAAAAAGAAAACGGTCTCATTTTTGTAAAACGTCATAATGAACAGACGTTAAGGTACTTTTTACGGCAAAACGTTGATGATGTGGGACTAGAATATAATCCATCAAACGAAAAAATTTTAAATTTCATCTTTGTTTTCATTTTTCTTTTTCTTTTTCTTTTCCTGTTTCTTTTTATCTTTATTTTCCTTCTTCCTTTTATCTTCATTTTCCTTATTCTTTTCATCATCATTTTCCTTTTTTTTTTTATCTTTAATTTCATTTTCCTTTTTCTTTTCAGCTTCGTTTTCTTTTTTCTTTTTATCTTTATTTTCGTTTTCCTTTTTATCTTTATTTTCCTTTTCCTTTTTATCCTCCGTCTTATTTTCATGTTCACTTTTTTTATTGTATTTTTCTTTGTCACTTTCATCGTCCTCATTCTTAACTTGATCTTCATCTCCCTCATCATTATCATCGTCATCGTCATCTTCATAATAATCAGCGTAAGGTCCTGATTTTTCTTCCTCCACCTTCTTCTTCGACTTCTTCCCTCTTCGTCTTTCACTCCTGCTCAGCTTCAGTTCCTTCTCGAACTCCTCGTCGCTTGGGATGGAGGGGATGGTGAGGCCTACCATTTGCGGGTTCATGCTGATGCCCTCCCAGTCTGGGGGCACTTCGATCGTCGTATGAGCGTAGTAGTCCGTCGTTGACTGAGGCACATCCGTCTCAACTGTGAGGAAGTTGGCTGCCACCGGCTCTCTCAAGCTGTATTTTTCGGCAAACTTCAGTGTCGACGAGTTCCCTCTTGCCCTATTTATTGGCACCCTGAAAATGAAAATGGTTGCATGAAACAGGAGGAATAACGAGGAAAGTGACTTTTTAAAAACCTCTCCGCTTATTTTGCAGTCACGAGTAAAATCTTACGATCTGTTTCTTGTTTGATAATATAAATGTATAATTAGAAGTAAATGACCTTTTTTGTCCCTCCTATTTTTATGGATAGAAACTATTACGTCGGATCTCGACAAAAAAGAGCAAATTCACCCAGGAAATAAGTCAGGGTGTGTTCTTTTGATTGAGATTTGTTAGTTAAATCTTAAAAATTAACTGAAAATTATAGTATTTGTAACAAATCAAAGTTTAACGGGAATGAGTGGGTCTTTCCTTAGAAAATATGATAAATTACGTCATCAACAACAGTGATGCATGAACGCATACCTTAGTTTCCTTTATTTATGCTTCATTTATCACTGATGCACACATTTGTAATGGTTATACGTTACGTTCAGCATGAATGAAACCATGGCCACATAAACCATGGAATGTACCTACTCCCACAATAGCGGATGTAATCAATCATAGTGTTAATGGTCAGTTACATCCGACACTATTGGGTGTGCTTGGTATTTTTTCTACTATCAACTAATTTCTAACTCTAAATATTAAACCACAATTAATTAGTACTCAGATCAACAAATGTGCGTGACCTTCAGGTTCTGAAATTCATTTTACGGAAGCAAAAACGACCGTGACTGGTGTAGTTTCTCGTGAGTATGACGTTTGTGATTAACATTCAACTTTCAAAAAAAACAAATATCTTACATTTTTGTGAGTTTTCTTTCGTAAAATTTGATTCTCCTACTACCGGGTTGTTGGAATACTACAAATACAATCCGATGTGAACCTACAAAATTGTAGGACAGACATTATTATACATACATAATTGAACTGTTGACATACTGATACACGAATGATTTCAACTAAAACGAATCTTTAAATAAATTATGTAAAAAATTTATCGGTATAAAATAAACGATTCAAATCCACTTTTTAAGTATCAAGAAGTGAGTCTGAACTTTGTTGAGTTTGAATACCCTAAGACTCCGTGGAATACTGAGACTTCAAACACGCATTTCTTGAAATATAAAGAACTGCATTCATGCGCCTTGCCCCTAAGCTCCTCGTGTGCAGTTGGTGTGTAGTTACTTCTTATGATACATATCGACGGTGAAACTACCAAACCACGTATCTCGGTTTGCGACGTCGCAGACTTCCTGTCATACTTTATTTTTTAAATGAAAAACTACTTAACATCCAGTCTTGAAAATTTCTGTGATTTTTCCTCTTTGTGCGGAGAAAATTCCGTGAAAATTTCAAGGAATGATATTGATTTGGTTTACTTCAAAAAAATAAAATGTGAGCGTAGATTTTTAAACACCGCAAACGAGATACGTGGTTTGGTAGTTTCACCGTCGATATATACTTCAGAATCGTGCTTAGGTCTGCTGATTGAGCGGCAACATGGTGCGATTTAAAATCGTCCCTGACGTTCTCGAAGGAATTTATTATAATCAGCCTTAAGTTTTAGTACTTCTACAGTTATTCAGTTGATTCTTTCCTTAACCAAAGCTTCAAATGCTTACCTTGGTCTAGAAAATCGCCTGCACCAATATATGGGAGGTACGTCCGTCCTTTTGCTATGTCAGTTCCGGGAATGTTACCGACAAACCAGTGCCTAAAATCCCGCAACTTTGGTTTTTTCTCGTTTGGAACATCTATACCTATAAGGATTTTAAATCAAGTCTTAGAGGCATTGAATAGAAGCAGTGCACGTATTGAAATGTGTGTTAAGACCAAAAGGGAGGGCAAATTTATCTCACTAATGTGTAGTTAAAGTTGTAAGTATATAAACTTACTGACGACGGTCTATAATGGACATTATTGAAGTACACGAACTGATTGCGGTAGACGCACTCGTACGAAAGTATGATGGAGTTTTTAGCCAACGTACGTTAAAAATTCAGCGTAAAGCTGAAAATCTCAATACAGAGGGACAAAGCTCGTTCGAGCACAGTTTTCCATCGAAGAGATGTGAATGGACGTACTTAACTTGTGTTGCTCCAAACAGCACATCTCTTTGAGGGAAAACTGTGCTCGAACGAGCTTTTTCCCTCTGTATTGAGAATTTCAGCTTTGTGCTGAATTTATAACGCACGTTGGCTAAAAACTCCAACATACTATTATTAAAATAGGTCTAATATAAATCAATTAACTAATTAACTAAAATACTCTCAAATTGATAATATCCAAACGAATAATATAAAAAATATGCGAACAAACGTAAAATAATAAACCCATTATGATGCTCACATGTTCAATGTAATGCTAGGAATCATCAACATTTTGCAAAATAATATGACACCTTGTAGTATTGAAAGTAGGGTTTAAAGTCGGTAAATCCAAATATGAGAATCACAGAATACGTGCAACGAAGCAATGGATATGGATTGTCGAAGAAGATCGGGTCCACAATGATGGAACGCGTAAAATCATGGAAGTCGAAAAGTCGTCTCCGGTGTGATAATGTAAACAGGATGGCTGAGGAAAGGCTGCCGAAAAATATGCTGGATTAGGTTCCTCATGGGGGTAAGCGAAGGGGACGCCAAGTGATTGGGCGGCGATAGGCGATTTTAGAGGGAATGAGGGACTCAACTCCCTGAAATGTCTTTGGAGGATGGAGGACTTAGCAAGAAGTCGCGGAGTGCTAGAAAGCGCTGTAAAAGCGGCTTTCATGCATATACATGCCATCTTGAATCGACATCCGTGATCAAGGTAATCTTTTCAACATACTTTGAGCCGATTATCATTTTTCGTTTTCAATAGTTGATCGAAAAAGTATGTGGAACGCTCTTGCTTTATTTACTTAATTTTTAGATATGAAATTATCTTCAAGGTTTCGATTTACTCATTGAAGCATCCGTGCGCGATTGGCTGGTCTGTTGTTCTGATTCAGTGGGTGATCAGTTCTGATCAGTGTCGCAGTCCAACCCCCAGATGTGTTTCACGCCTCAGGCGTTATGCGTTACGCGTTACTCTTATGATTTTATATAATGTAGTGCGATAGTATGATAACTCATCATCTTACCTATCGCAAGCAAACAATAAAGCGCTTTTGTCCCGTTGATTGGCCAGTCTAAAAAAATAGGAGGCTTCCTGATTTCATCCGGAGTGAAGCTGTTTCCGAAAGACATCTCTTTGCCATCAAAGCTACCCTAAAATTGCAAATGTTTAATTTATGAGGAAGCAGTGGGAAAAAAACAGCAACAAATGTGTCACATCGCTTACATAGGAATGGGAATTCGATTGCATGTAGAGGTGTGGTCCACACAAAATAAATTTACGTAGCTTCAGAGTGCTGCAGAAGAACAGCTATATTTAGTCATTAACATTGAAAGTAAATTCGATAATCAAGCTGGCGGATGTTGTGTGACACAGGTGCACAAATTAATTTGGCGCAAAATTAAATGATTGAGAAAAAACCTTAATTTACAAGGTATTCTCATAAAACCTCGGACCATAAAAGAGAAGAGAAAAATTACATCCCGTAAGTACATTCGGACGTATTTATGCTAAAACACTGAAAAAAAGTAACGGGCTATATAGACATACCGTCTGTTCTGGGCTCAGAGGCCGAAAGTTCCGGGTGCTGGAGCCGTAGCTTTCATTGCTTCGGGTGCTACGCCCGGAAATTCGGCCTCTGAGCCCGGAACGCGGACGGTATGTCTATATAGCCCGTAAAAATGGCTTCCATGACCGAAGTTTTTTTCCGGTTTTTTTTGGAACTATGTTCATAGGGTTTGCGTGCAACATAATTCCTTTCAGCATAAATATGTCTAAAATCTAAAATTTGTGTTATTTTGAAAATGAAGCATTTTTTCAACATTATAAAATTGTAGAGCACACTGCCACTGACATTTTGACATTTTTTATGAACCAAAAAAATTAAATTTTCGAGTTTTTCCTTTGTTGGAAATGTTTTTCTACCATACCTTTAAAAAACGGGTGAGCAAAGTGGCTGAGAAGATATGTGCAAATATACTCACAGAGAGAACATACTTCGGCATATATGCCAACACTTTTGGAACAATTTTATGCTTTTCTAAAATCTCTTTCTTGTCTTGTGGCGTCTCTTCAAAAATCGAGGAGGTAGAATCTGGCGTATCGGCCAGAGCTTTTATCAAATCAATGATCAAAACCTTTGAGACCACGACGTAAAATTTGATTCCCCAAAACATTGTGTGCTGGTTACAAAAGAGGTATTTTAAACAAAACTTGTTGCTTTTGAAGCAAAAAAACAACACTTCAAGTGCAAATAATCAATTTGAAAAGTTTCGAAACGTCCTAGACTTATTGTTAAGCATCATATCACATCAAAATACTACGGTAATGAACTTGATTACTGATATAACAAAATAGCAAATTTAACTGAACCCACACACACCAGATCACATATCTACTTCGCGAGGTTTTTTTTTTAACAGAATTGGTGGCCAAAAATGATTCTTATTCTAATCATAACTCTGGAATTTTGACGCATAGGGATCAAAATAATGAATAAAAAATTTTAATATGAGAATAATTTTTTAAGCATAATATTAATGAATCCAACACATTTGCTCATAACACTATAACGACTATCATTTTTAACTCTATCAATTTTTATTCAACTCTTTGTCGAGACTTTGTCCTCGATTTGATGGATCACAATTGTCCTCGTGGATCACAATTGAATAACAATTTTCGATTTTCTTCAGAAAGGGTGGAAAAAAAGCATTTAAACTGAATGGCAAAAAGTTGGTTTTTAAGAAAAATGTAACAAACATCATACAGATTCATCGATGAGGATTCATTCCGCAAGATGCATTGAGGCTGAAAATTATAATTTTAAGTAGACCCATTCTGAACAATGAAAAGCCACTACTGCCTTGCAATCTTGTAAGCTTCCGGTTGTACTGGACAATTTACTTAATTGATTGAAATGGACTTACTTTGTCATCATTTATGACAACATTTTTCGGAAGCTGCTCTCAACTGGGTTATCATGTCAACCAATCAGAACTCACACGCATCTGATTAAATAATCTGGGTCATTCAACCCTAATTGAGAGGAAAATAGGATTTCTAAAATGACGACTTCAATATGTCAAAGGACTTTTTGACGGAGGCCTTAGTAAAGTCATATCACTAATATTTAATCAATGCATGAAACCCGTTCCTGAAGGGTTACTGAAAAAGGGAATGTTCCCTTATGGCACAACAGTCAACGCCTGCAGAAGAAGAAAAAAACGAGAAATGCGGTTTTGCAATTGTGTTTTGAAAAGCAACGATCAACTCTAGAACCTTTGCCAAGTTGTGTTCTGCATACATATGTATTTATGGTGAAATTTCCAAACCGTTGGTTTGCAATGTTGGGAATCTCCGGTCACATTTTATGATTTTAAAAAAACTGATCATTTTTTTTTTTACAACATTCCGTTTGATGTTCCCTCATTCTTTCAAAAATACCCTCTAAAAATTTCGCGCAAAAATTTCAAACAGTATGTTCTTTTAAAAATGATATATTATTTACAGGTTTGTGAGTTTCACCATCAATATACAATCACCATTGTTGTAGAACTTTGATTATTTAATAAATACTCGATACAGCTGCACTCTATGGACTCTCCAAGAGGAGGTATATTCAGGGGAATTTCGTAACAATGATCGACACAAAACTTAATTTTTTAACTACGATTTACAATATACATAACAATGGTTTTCCCTCAGAGCAGGTCCTATTTTTACCGATATTATAATTGTATATCTATAAAAATTGAACGTAATTCAGTTTTGCAAGATAACCTTTTTTGAAAGCGCTTAACACAAAATTTTAGGAATAATGCAAAAGATAAAGAACTTAAAGAAGAGTTATTGCCAACGAATGCATTCTAGATAACAATGCACAAAACTATGCCAAATCAGTGTAAGAATTGCTGCGTAATACATGCTTGAAACAAAACTTTAAAAAGTAGAAAATATTTATCAACAAATAAATTAGCTGTATTTGAGCAAAAATTATAAGGTGCCTATTTGCAAATAGATCACTAGAGGAAAGCATCACCATTTTTAAAAGCCAAAGATTTAGTCTTCAACTGTTGTAAATCACTGACCGGGCAGTCTAAACTCAAGATCGAGGACAGCGAAATTTGCAGCTACCGGCTTATGCATACCGTATTGTTTGGTGAAGTTCAGAAGATCAAACTTTGTACGTTTTTCGTAGGGTGCTCTGAAACAAATCATTCATGTAAAATCTAAAAATCACAACAAACTTTCATCCATTCCTGATGATACTTTTTCGAGTGACTTTTGTTAGACCCTAGAATTTCCGGAACGCTCAAGACCCGACTGCATTTGAGACATATTATATCGGCTTTTCATTCCAGAGAAACCTTGGCATATTTTACCTTTTTCTAAACCATGCAATAGTCTCCCGTAAAATCTAATTTTCTAGGATAGTTAAAATTTTTCGGAAAATTTCAGAACGTGATGAATTTTCCCCATAACTTTCTCCCCAACTGAGAGCTTAAAAATACGACGGAGTCGTCTGAATTTTCTCAGGATACACATATAACCCAGAATTTGAAGACTTATGCAATAAACCACACTCTCTGTTAAAGAGGAGCTATTATGAGAGAAAGTTTAGGCCTTATTATCACCTTCTTTCCTCGACTTATACTTTTCTTCGTTATTTTATTTCGAGTCCCATCGCTCCCTCATTCCTATAACCTTCGCATAGTAACATCAGTGAACTTACTCTTCATCAATACGCTTCAAGTCCAATTTGACTTTCTTCCCGCTTGGATTTTCAAATACGACGTAAATTAACCGATGGAGACCTGGGGACACATTCATCCATAAAGAATTCATTAGTTTAGAATAATTTGAAAAACACAAAGGAATGTATACTTTTCTTCTAAATTATTATAAAGAATCTCAACAAAATGTAACTTAAAAAAATTAATTTGAAATACTTATATGTAAATAAATATTACTAGGAGCGGTAGCGACCCCGTCAAGCCTATAGAGATCTCCAACAACCGAGAATGGGAGCCGCTACTGTATCTTACACGAACCCGTTCAACTTTTGCGTTATTTTGAGATATTGTTATTACTCAACCCCTAATTTGTTATCTTTTTTAAAATTTACAAGCAAGTTCCCTTTAGCTGCAAAATATATTTTATTTTTTTTTTAAATTTTTTTTAAGTCCCAAATCTGATCAAATGTACCCGCACTTAAATTCATATTTATTTTGATGTGTTAATTACGTCATTTCTATGTTTTTGAGGGTATTTATGGGATGTTTTTTTGGAATTTTTACATTTTCAGTAATTTACAGGCGAATGGCGCTTTTTCAACCCCCTCCCTTCACGCCTCCAGCCGTCATATGTAACTCCCTCAGAAAAAATAGTCGCATCAATTTGACCCGGTTTGGAATTTCAAATAGACGTATTTCTATCAAATGGAACTATGTGCATTCTGACTTGAGCCTTGTTATGCATATATCCTTATGGGTCTCAGAGCTCATGTCTTAATGCACATAGTTCTGTTTGGTAGAAATACTCCCAAATAGTCGTCGTCAAAATAAAAATTTCCCTTGCGTGACATAATTCTCGCTAAAGTATCGATTTATTAGGCTTGCACCTTTAAGGGTGCTTGAGAGACCTCTAACTTTTTTTCTTTTTTTTAAAAATAATTATTGATTTGAGCACATCATTTTGAGCAAACCTGACCTCTACTTCACCTCAAATTTCAAGAATAAGATACACCTCAACGCACGTTAGTGATAGCGCAGAGGTACATATATTCGTGTTTGATGGATGCGTAGATGTTGCATCAACAAAACTGAAAGCGGAATGGCGTGAGGCAAAAACGCCGAAAAATGTCTCACTCAATGATATCAATGAGCTGTCACATATCATATGGACGTATTTCTACCAAACAGACCTATGTGGAGGTGAGAAATATGGGGTGTGCTCGTCGAAGCTGCATAAGAAGCAATGTAAAAGTGTGCGTGATTCCTTTTGAAGAATTGGAAAAGCGGGATTTTACATTCTATCAAACAGACCTATGTGCCAACTGAATGCGGGACTCATGAGCCGCGAGCATGGCAAGAGAGCGTTGTGAACAGGGCTCATGAGTTAAAGCCCCCCGACGACGTTCGCCTTCGTTCCGCTCTCGCTCCTTCATTGCCGCTGACGTCACTGGCACTTTATTATTCTCATTCACTCTTACGGCCAGAGAACTAACGAGCACACCCCATATTTCTCACCTCCACATAGGTCTGTTTGATAGAAATACGTCCATATGTCACTCAGATTCGGGAAAAAGTTGAAAAAACAACACCCGATTTCGTCTATCTTATACCTGCAGGTGTGTCACCGCCGTAGCCTTTAAGGGACCACTACAAAGAAGACAAACGGAACCAACACAATTTGGTAATATTTCAAAGGAAATGACGCGCGTTGATGACGGCGTAGAGATACAACTATTCGTGCTTGATGGATGTCCGCATTGCATCTGCAAAATTGAAGGCGCGATGGCGCCAGGCGTGAACTCTTAATGATTTGATCTATGCTGCCAATGAAATGTCACTAAGATCATAACGGTTTCTACAGGATCCTGTACTCCCGCAAGAGCCAATATTAATACCCTTACGCAGTTACTAGCGCTGCAGCCTCTCGTGGGATCCTCTCAACTGAGTGCAATTATTAGATGTTGGACCTCACAAAAAATCACTTGACATAGGTGCAACTGCCATAGAACGGTTTTTTCATGCTACCTTCAGGGTGACCAGGGGTACCTTTCAGAGGGCCGTTCAATGATGGCAGGAGTCAAAAAACGTAGAAAATGTCCGTATTTTTCAAGAATTCAGCCGCTTCACGGGTTATTTTTCAATGATCGGCTTAACATCCCATTTGGAGCGGGCAATCGATGGATCGAGGTACGGAGGGAGGGATCCTCTGAGTTAATGAGGATCTCACTCAAGGTTATGCACTGAGATCGGCTGGTGGCTTCGTTTTTTACGATCTATTTACCACCTATGTGAAGGCTCGATACAACGCGAGGGCTTCATATTTTTAATAAAGCTGAGGGTCAATTTGACCCGACTTTCGTATCTAAGAGTTAATATTAAAAGACAATCCCATCCATTTTGTCAGACAACTTAATGCGTCACAATCTTCCTAATATGTTTTTGAGCCAAATATTTCAGATATACCACTACATCCTATAAGTTTGTTTTCTTTCAGCACCCAAAAGTTGAAGAGATGTTTTATAAAAACGTATATCACTCTACATATCCTTAAATTATTAATAAAATAATGAAGAATATTACAAGAAGATTTGAATGTGAGTAGCCTTACCTTCATCTTTTTTAACCCAAAAACTGCAGTGGCGAGGCGTGAATGATCGATTATCGATATTTCTCCATTTGAAGCTATGGTGAAGAATCGATTATTAAGGTGTTATCTAAAACCCTGTCTATCGATACTTTTCCATAGGTTTAAATGGCAAATCACTCGATAAATCGCGAAGCACGCCACGCCACTGCCAAAAAGAAGGTTATGATCTTAACTTACCAATTTCGTATCCTGCAAGAGACCCACAGTACTCTGCTATTTCGTCGCCATTTCCTGCGTCGTTTCCCTTAATATTTGTCACTAGCCAGTGGAGCCAGTTTCTATCAATTGGCTGTTCACGAACTCGGGAATCGGGACCTTAATTGAGACAAAACTAAAAATCAGGTCTGCAATGATGTTTATCTGTCTGAGAGGACAGTTAAAGAATCTCACTGCTTTGGTTTTAATACTGCGGGTCCCCCAAAAAACGAACACACTTCTTTCCTACAGTCAATCTCAAGCTGAAAAGAGAGTTCATTGCCAAATTCTCACGTGTATGAATTTATTCTTAGATTATTTCATTGGAAATATCCATCATCCTCAGCTATCAATTTTTTTATTAATGACCTGCATGATTTTTGTGTTTTATATTTGTTGCACGGTATGTTAATTTCAACAATTCTCAAAGTTGCGTTCAATTTTTTTTTATTTATTTATTTTAACGACGTGAATTTCAAAATGGCAAACTTTTCACCCCCATACCCATGTAGGGCTTAAATTACAGTCTCATTTACATATGATTTGGTGGGAATTGTTTCATTTATAATTATTTTGACTGTAGATTATCTCAGCAGGTAAGATAGATAATATAGGTAAAGCTTTTACCTTGATAATCCTACTTCTTAGTCTTACCTATCATAAAAAGAGTGTAGTAGAAATCATTCTTCGCCGGCCAGGTGACCTCCACAGGCGCTTCCATCATTTCGTACCCATTAATCTTATTCCCGCATTTCACTGTCGTGTGTTTGTATACTACCTGCGAAGCATGATTTATTATTAATTTTGATTTATTTTATTTACAGTCAATGAAAACAGTAGTTTGAATTCAGCAGAGTACTGGCACTGTCGGCAGATGACTTTATTTCTTGATTTTTTGGGGAAATCACTACCGTTGCTGGAAATAAACTAATTACGGGTAATCAAGATAACTTATAAGCATTGCTTCTTGCGGAATGCCATTAAAATATTTTCTATGCCCGTCAAAACAATGGCCTAATCTAGAGGACGCCTGGAAATAATTATGTGACGCAAAAGAATGTAAATATATGTTTATGTATTTGCTTTATTTATTTTTTTAATTCTAAATTTAACCTCATTGCGTACCGAAAGTTCATGCTGCGGCATGATGGGTATGATTAGTGGCACTATATTACTGGTTTGAAGCTTGAACTGTAAAATGTCATCTCCGGTGTGAGAAAGTGTAGAAAATATTTGGTTTAATACGACCAGGATGATACAAAGGTGACGGAAGTTCAGAATTGAAGGTAAAGCGGTCAAAAAATGGGTTCCCATTGTTTGTCAGTCTACTGGTTCCAAAAATTGAACTAAAAATTGGAGCAAGAATAACCTCTTATTTGCCAGGTAAAAGAAAATTAATTAAAATTTATCTAGCTAATACAAGCTAAATACTTATAATGTCGTTCACATGTGACACATATAGTATTACTCTTTTCTTTTAATTATCTTTTTTCATTGAATTGATACATTGATAATGGAGTTTATACAAATATATATAAAGGTGCTTATTTAAGCTACAAAAACCACCTGAAATATGGTAAGTTCACGCTCGAAGGTACCATAAAATCCTGGTTATATGAGCTATGTACACTTATTTGTCGTCAGGAAGTGTGATCTCTGGTCTCTATTTACATTTGAATCTTCCATTGCAAGAAGAATCAAAAACATTATTTTGAAATCAAGAAACCACGAAAAATATCATCATGAAAAAAGTGAAGAAAATTGTCTGGTGGCCGAAGTACTAAACAAAACTATCATACAGTGAGCTAGACTTTCAATATTTCGCTTATGATAATAGATTGACGTGCCTACACTTTAGGTTCGCCCCAGAAAAAAATAATAGATCAATCGCTGATTAAAAGTTATCCGAAATGAACTTCCTAAACGGTTTTTGAAACGTCATTGTTCAAGCGGCCGTGGCAGCCGCCTGTTTTTAGTTTCACTACTTCTTACGACATTGCAAGAACGAAAGATGACTCATTCCAAACAATTAATAATTACGTCTTTGCCGTACAACTCCGATTGAATGTGAATGCTTATATGTACTTGCTCTAGTAGTGAGAATCATTTTATACATGAGCAAAATGTTTATAATGAAACATAAAGTGGAGTGCTTCATTTCATAGCTTGTCTGGTTCCTTATCCTTGAATTAAACGTATCGTTGAAACTGGTGGATTCTCCTCGAAAAATATCCACGTAAAAAATAACTACCGTCTTACATATTTATTGAAATTAATAATAAAATAAGTGTACCTTTATAACTCACGTTTATAGGTGATGATTTTGTAAAACCAATACCATGCCCGAAATTACATCTTATTCTACTAACAAACCCTCCCAGATAAGACAGGAATATTTAGCCAATATTTAAACAATATTGTTTTGGTATTTATGCAAATATTGGGCCAATATTGGTTAAATATTGAGCCAATGTTAAAAGTGTACACCATCTTTCCTTTTGGCATAAATACTGTGCCAATACTTTGGCTGAGAATACTGTGCCAGTACTTCAAAGGGAAAGTATTTGGATATCAATATTGAGACAATACTACACCNTTCCTTTTGCTTTTCAAAGTACCGTCCATCAAACCGGATGCACTTTTTCATGCGCTCTTGCCACTTATCCAACATTGTTTTCCTGAATTCTTCCTCTGGGATGGAGTTGAAGAAATTTTGAATTGCATTCTGGATTTCGGTCTTCGATACGAATCTTCGTCCGCGAAGCTCCTTTTTATTAAGCGTGGGAAACATCCAAAAATCACATGGAGCCAAGTCAGCGCTATAAGGGGGATGAGGGATTGTTTCAACTCCATTTTTATTCATAAATTCACGTGTTAAGCTCGATGTGTGAGGCTGCGCATTGTTTTGATGGAGTATCCGCGGAGCTTTCAAGTCCGACCGTTTCCGGGAAATGTGCATTCTCAACTCCTTTAGTACTTTGCAATAATACGCACTGTCAACTATTGTGTTTGATGGTACAAAATGTTGATAAATGACACCTCGAAAATAAAAAAACACAAAACGCAATAGTGTATTTCCTTGGGAAAATACACTAATAAACATCACTTTATCGGCCGACTTTTCGATTTACGGCGATGAAGAATCTTCCTTAAAAATCGTAGGCGTAAACTTTCCTCGCTGATTTCAAATTGCCATAACTCGGTCAATTTTAATCCGATTGAGCTGATCTTGGTTTTAATCGATAGGTATTGAGTTGATCTTGAAAATGAGATCAAGATCATGTCTGTATCCATCTTACTTTCGAAGTTACAGAACAAGTCCCGGTGCTCTTGGGACACCTTATGTATACTTTACGCCGAAAAAGCGAACCTGAAACTTAAATGCGTTAACTTCCGAAAACCATATATAATCCAACGAAAATAAATAATTGGTACATAACAGCTTTCTCGTATGCAAAGAAAATAATTAAAAATGTTAAAAAAGAGATGTCAACACAAAATTACATAGCCCCTTCAATTCAGAAGATACTACAAACGAACTGTACCTTAACATTTTCATATCCCAGAAGCTAACGTTCCCATGACGAATATTGCTATCGCTAGCGATTGCAAAATCCAACTTGTTACTCTTTTCTTTTAATTATCTTTTTTCATTGAATTGATACATTGATAATGGAGTTTATGCAAATATATATGAAGGCGCTTATTTAAGCTACAAAAACCACCTGAAATACCTATGGTAAGTTCAAGCTCGAAGGTGCCATAAAATCCTGATTATATGGCTATGTACACTTATTTGTCGTCTGGAAGTGTGATCTCTGATCTCTATTTACATTTGAAATTTCCATTGCAAGAAGAATCAAAAACATTACTTTGAAATCAAGAAACCACGAAAAATATCATCATGAAAAAAGTGAAGAAAATTTTCTGGTGGCCGAAGTACTAAACAAAACTATTATAGAGTGAGAAAGTCAATATTTCACTTATGATAATAGATTGACGTGCGTACTTTTTAGGTTCGCCCCAGAAAAAAATAGTAGATCAATTGCTGATTAAAAGTTATCTGAAATGAACTTACTAAACGGTTTTTGAAACGTCATTGTTCAAGCGGCCGCGGCAGCCGCCTGTTTTTAGTTTCACTACTTCTTACGACATTGCAAGATTAGAAAAACGAAAGATGACTCATTCCAAACAATAATTACGTTTTTGCCGTAGAACTCCGATTGAATGTGAATGCTTATGTACTTGCTCTAGTAGTGAGAATCATTTTATACATGAGCAAAATGTTTATAATGAAACATAAAGTGGAGTGCTTCATTTCATAGCTTGTCTGGTTCCTTACCCTTGAATTAAACGTATCGTTGAAACTGGTGGATTCTCCTCGAAAAATATCCACGTAAAAAATAACTACCGTCTTACATTTTTTTATTGAAATTAATAATAAATAAGTGTAACTTTATTACTCACGTAAATAACTCACATTTATAGGTGATGATTTTGTAAAACCAATACCACGCCCGAAATTACATCTTATTCGACTAACAAACCCTGCTCTAAATAAGGATAAATGTTGGTGTACCCGACAAAACCACCAATCCACGCATTCTAAACAATTATTCAATTCCGTAAAGAAACATAACACTTATTACATCATTTCATTTTCTGCTTTCTTGGGCAAAGGACAACATTGGCGTCATTTTAAGATCATTATTTAAAAGTTAAAAAAATGACTGAATGAGTTACTTGATTTTAGGTGTTTTGGAAAATTAAGAACAAAAAATGTTTTTAATTTGAGTATTTATTAGTATGTGTAAACTTGAAAGAAATTTGCAGCCACAGGTCTCCCTAGATAATATGTATCCACAAAATTTTGGATGGAAAAATTCAGTCGCTCATTTCCGCTTAGGCTGAAAAAGAAAGAGATAATATTGATTAACATCTTACCACTGGAGATTTATATTAAAATTTAATAGCCAAAAAATATGCTTGAAAGAATCATTGAACGGAATTCACTAGCATTCGCTTATCACACGTTGACTTATTTTCTCTGCAAGATTATCAATTATTTTAAACATAAAACTATAGACTTAAAATTTTGGGAGAGTGCTCCTTGTAAAAATAATCGACGGTAAATTCTCGCCAGGTTTGAAGAATTTAGTGGTTTATTTCTGCATTAAAAATAATCAAATTACAAAATATTCTGGCTGGTATAATTTTAAAAAATAAACTTAAACGATAGAGAGTGTTTTGTCGCTTAACTCTTGTAGTTTTTTGTAAATACTTTTTTTCGTTAGATTTAAGAGGGGAAAAAAGTTAACCTACTTCTTTGTCAGCCTCGGTAAATCGAACTCCATTGTAAAATTATAGTTTTGTTTGAAAATTAAGAACACCATTCGATGAGGACCTACGGGGAGACACGGAAATAAAACAAAATTAAAGTCATTCCCTTGCAGCCATTTATTTCATGTTTATGAAAATTCAAGGACTCTATAAACTATGTGAGTTTTACCTCATAGTGATGTGATGCTTGATAGCACGTACTATATTTCTGGATCGCACGTCGACATGGCAGTTGACAGTGCATTTGAATTTTCTTTTGAATAATCAACTTTGACAATCAAAACACGATGAGAAAAAGAAATGATTTTTTGAGTGATAGATGCACACTTTAAAAAATTATATTTTATTATACATATGATGGTCTAACCCGTATCTTAATTGAATCACTCACCCTCATCTTGAAAAAAAATGTCGAAGTCAGACGAGCAACGTAATGAAGTAAATAACTCTGCAGAACATATTTCTCAGGATGTTGTAGGATTTTTTCAGACAAAAACTCAAATTCCGATTTCTCGACCAAACTTAAGAAAACTCATTCTCTTTTCAAAAATATGCCCAAGTGACTGAAATCGTCTTCCTGATGGATGAGTTCATCGAAAATGGTGTCAAACTCACCCTTGAGATAGTGATGTGTTAATCCTGCATACTCTACTAGAACATCTGCATCATCAACCCTATTACCAGCAATATTTGCGATGACCCAGTGCTGCCCATACTTGTAGAGCGGTCTATCTTGAGTGGGAATATCAGGACCTACGATATTGAAAGAAAAATTTCCCTTCATTTATTCATCACAGAGTAAAATTAAGTTTTAAACAAGATTAGTTTTGCTCAGAGGTAATGTGTAGATTTTGCATATTTATCGAAATTTTCTATTGACTGCACCAGAAAGATTGGTATTTTCATTTCATTTAATTTTATTTTATTTTATTTTATTTTAAAGAGAGCTGGGATAATACACAGCACAACACGCATGTTTTGCAAGGGAGTAATTTATCTAAGTACGCATCCCAGGCTGTGCACATCAACATGAGCTTAGAAAGCTACAAAAAATTTGGAAAACAAAAATCACAGTCCTCGAAAAAGAAGTTAAAAATTATCACAGTGTATAACAGATAAAATATTCAGGGATGCATGTAAACAGACAACGAACGAAGCACTCACTTTTCAGTTCTCTTTCATATTTTTCCAATTATAAAAGCATGTCCTGCTCTCCGGTTTCCAGCTGGACACGCTATGCCATTCACGTAGTATGATTATGTGATTAGTAGATGTGGGGTGCACCATTATTTCAATGTATGAAATGCGTAAGATGATTACCTAATAAAAATAGAATATAGTAGGCTCCAATTTCTCGAGGCCACTGTAGAAATACAGGAGCATCCGTAATTTCATACGTTTGTAGATAGTTTCCTGTTTCTACGTTTTTATAGTGATATGATACCTAAAACACATTTAACATCGATGTATAATCACAGAATTGTTTCCGAATTTTGTCCGAACAATCATAGAACCAAAAAAGGTGAAGCTGATTTGAAATCGAATTACAAAAGATAGAGTCACGAGAGAGGGGAAAAAGAGGGAGGGGAATAAGGGGGATGGAGGAGGACAGCGGAAGAGAGGAAGAGAGAGGAAAACCTATACAAATGATTAATGTTTCTCACTCGTCGGGTAAATGGGAGACCGGAAAATCATCGTTTATCACTTTGCACGTCAAACTTTTTTATTACACGCAAATAAGAGCATTTATTAAGTTAATGATCAAACACGATTAAGTTGGATAGTTATGGGCTACTGAATAAAGTGGGCTCCGATTTTCCTGAGGGAGAAGGAGAAAGGGCACACGTTAAAGTTCTGAAGTGCCCTTTTGGACAGCTCTGTTTCACCTATCCTTAATTTGTTCGACAAAAGCTCACAGTTAAAATACTATACGAAATACAGAATATTTATCACAAAAAAAGTTTCTAAACGTCATTCCAAGAAAAGAAGACAGTATAACCTTGGCTGGCGGCCTTTTTTTTAAAAAAAAAAAAAAAAAAAAAAAAAAAAAAAAGTTTAAAACTGCGTTGATGGCACACGTGTTATGTTACCTGGTTAGTTATGACAGACTATTCATTGCGTGACATCCTCTCACGCGTTCTGTTGTTTTGTAATTTATTGGCAAACTTGAATGAATGAAACCAAATTGTTGGTAAAACTACGGTTGGGAAAATCCTTACCTTCAAAAGATTAAGGGGAGGAAGCATTGTTATTCCAGGATATATGTTAAATTTTGCAAATTTTTGCTTTTCATCAGGCGTCAGCTGCCCAAAAGAGCAAGTAAACCATGGAGATAATACATGCATGACAGTCACGAAAAATTGACAAAAAGTCGGCTCACATGAAATCCATCGTAAATTATACATCATGAGAGAATGGTTTTAACCAGGAAAATGAACAAAGTTGTCTGAAATCAAAGAGGAACCAAGAAAGTTGTATCCTATATTTGTAGAATTTGAAAAGGCGCCGTTCATGAAATATCTAATGCTATAGGGTGGAGGAGCGGGGGCGGTCAAGGAGAGCGCAACGTCATTTTTTGCTTTTAGACGCAAAAGGATGGAATCTACAACACAAAAGTGTTACCAGGGGGAGGGGGGGGTATTGGAAAAATCAAAATCTAGCATTATGTATTTTATGAGTGAGACCAATCTGCGTACATGGACTTACAAGCTTTATGCATATGACGGTTAAACAATTTTTTTTTTTTTTTTTTTTTTTTTTTTTTTTTTTTTTTTTTTTCATCCGCTCACGATTTAGGTGTTATACTCTCGGTCTCTTAACTTCCATAATTCCAAACATCGAGATCGAGTGGACAATGGAATCTGTTTCAGCAGCCTCACATGTCAGTTCTATTCAATTCATCCGTCCCAGAATGGACCGTCGCGCTAGTCACAGAATCGTGTTGTGATGCTTGATTCTTGTAGATTATAAAAATAATGAGAGCCGCATCTTTCTACGTTCAATATTAACCGAGATATCGCTCTTTGAGAAGTCAGATTTTTGACGTCATCCACCGCGGCAGTGACACTCTTGGTTTCTTCCTCTTTTGGTCAATAGGTGATGCAGGAGACGCAACGCAAAATTTCGACGACAATAAACTTAAACAAACTCAAGAAGCAGACGGATTCACGCTTCGAGGAACTTCTTATCAGGAGATAACGCACTCGACGAGAAGAGATTAGGCAGTCAGTTCACCACAGTTTGTTTATGTTTAATGTCGTCAAAGTTTCGCGTTGCGTCTCCTGCACCACTGATCGAACCAAAGAGAAAAAAACCAAGAATGTCACTGCCGCGTTGGATGACGTCAAAAACCTGACTTTTCAAAGAGCGATATCTCGGTTAATATTGAATGTAGAGAGTTGCGGTTTGGACAGATAGTAATATTTTTAGCTAATCTACCACAATCAAGCATCTAGACACGATTCTGTGACCAGCACATAACTGGCCCGTTTAAACTTATCCAAGACAGGGTGTCCTAGAGTCAAACGCATTTCACACAACGTTTTACACACAAAAACACACAACACGCTCATCTATACAGTACGGCTGACTTAATGTCAGAGACTTTAGCGGAAGTTCAGAAACGTAAGAAAATCCTTCTTCAGATTATTTCTCCTAAAGAATTCCGTAAACATCGCACACAGTACGCTCATCGTTGTATTGAGGCTTTCTCATTCTTGGAGACTTAAACGAAAGGGTAGAAAAGTAAGCAAATTCGTGAGAATATTTTTTTTTTTTTTAAATTAACGTTGGGGCCGTCTTTATCCTAGAAATACGTCACGAAAACGAGGGATACGATGAAATTAGCAGTATTGTGAGTGACAAAGATGAAATAAAGAAAGACGCATCATAATTTTCTAAAAATATGATCGTCCACGAGAAAGGACCTCGACTCAACTCACCAAAGATTTATCCGAAAATGTCTCTCCCGCTTGTTTTATTCAATGATAAACGTTAGAAAAAAAGGAAATTATGATTAGCTCTCTTAAAAATTGAGCTACGAATAATGCGCCGAGAAAAAGTGTGTTCAAAGTATTGAATGGGCGAAGGGAGTGAGCAAACTGAACGAACCTTTGATTTGCATACAATTTGTGTGTAGAAGAATAAAATGGCGGAGAACTAAATGTTAAAGACAGAGATGAGAGATAAAGAATTGATGCGTTTTATTCTGACGTCGGGCTGTTGTATTAGTGGTGTTTGGGTTAATATGGGTTATTGATGTATTGAGGAGATATTGAGTTTAAATTCGTGCATCTCTCCTCCGAATCGGCGAGACTTTCATTCTATCTCTCCATCGATCACATTTGTCTAATTACCATAATTGAAACTGCGACGACGCTTCTCTCCACTAGCTCTTAGGGGCAGGGGTAGGAGAGATGAATACTTAATACACGCACCATACAGAAATGCGTATTTTACAATAAAGGGAAACATGCATTCAACGTAAAATATAAAAGTAAGAGATTCGACGAAATACGACAAATCCCTCAGGCATTGTTAGTGGTGTGACTCCTTTCTATGTAGACCATGAATATGGTTCATTCGGCCCTTTTCATTCTCTAGTATTCCTTTAGAGCTCTCTCACTTAATAGCTATTTCATCCCTTATCTGGTGACAGGGGGGAGGGTGTTCCATAACTACGTAACGCTCAAGGGAGTTGGTGGGTCTTCATATCTTTGTAACCGAGAGTGACTTG